GCTATTCTAGCTTCCTTGTTGGGAGGAGGATTGGATGAACAGACATAATTGTGTCACAGTCTGTTAGGACTTTAAGACCCTTTCCCATCCCAGTTGGTCGCCAGAGGTGACCATGAGCAGGTGGTTCCGTGGAGGATCACCTTCCCTTTAGCAAGTGTTCTAGTTTGCTTCTCAGTTCCTGTGATAAAACACTGTTTAGGAGTAGTTTTGGAGGAAAGGGTTTTTTCAGATTACAGGTTCCAGTCCATTCTTGAGGGAAGCCAAGGTGAGACCCTGGCGGCAGGAACTGAATATGGAGGAATGCCACTAGCTGGCGTGCTTTCTTTTGTTTGCTACCTTTTTAAATACAATCTAGCCCCACCTGCCCAGGAATGGCACTGCCCACAGTGCAGGTAGGCTCTCCTCTATCAATTAGCAATGAAGAGAGTGCCCCACAGTCATGTCTACAAGACAACCGGATGGAGACAATTCTTCAGGTGAAGTTCTCAGATGTGTCAAGTTGACAAACAAGATTAGCCACCACAGCAGGCATATATCCTGTACAGATCTGAGCTCATCAGGGGTCTTTCATTGCTTCCCCAGGAGAATTGTATATTGGTGGCCAGGAACACTTTTATCTGGAGACCAACTGCACCATCGCTGTGCCGAAAGGCGAGGCAGGCGAGATGGAACTCTTCGTGGGCACACAGAACACCATGAAAACCCAGGTCAGCTCAAGGCAGTGGTGGCAGTGACAAGAAAGCTCCTAGTGTACCAGGTTAGGAAACTGGAAGAGGTAGATACCAGATATAGATCCTAAAAGGGACACGAGTATTAGTCTTGGAATCAGATCCTGTCATCACCAAAAGGGCATTGAACTTGCTGTTTAACTTTCTCAGCTTCCATTTTCTCATGAGTAAGATGAATTTTGCTAGTGTTATTTCATCAATCAGATGCATTTTAGGACTTGCTTTAGAACCTAAGAAGTTTTCACTTTTACAATTCTGATGCTATGTGGCCAGCACACATCAAGGCATAGCCTGTTCTAATAACTCATTGTTTAAAATCAAGTATGGGGCTGGGTGATAGCCATAGGGACCTCTAGCTTAGCAGGCACAGTTATGTGTGCACGATATTGTACAAGCGGTATCATCGATACTACATCTACATGTACTTCCCGGATCATGATAGTAGTTGCCAGGATTTCTGGTATCTACTCTTACCATTCTGACCTAAAAACCCTTGCCAAGTGAGATGATTTTTTTTTTAAGCCCTGAATGTATGCTGTTATCTTGCCTTTCTGGTTAAAAAGAAATATCTGAATTCACTTAGCAAGTGACCAGTGAGTATTGGACCCTGGCACCAGCCAGCACTGGGAGGTGAGGGAGATTTTCACTTTAGAAATTTCAGAATTTATAGTAATGCTTAGGCCCAAGCATGTTGGACAGGTTGAGGTCAGGCCTTGAAAAAGTCCAGAGGACGTGTCAATTCAAGATTCTGTTTTTATTTATTTATTTGTTGTTGTTGTTGTTGTTGTTTTTGCGTAGAGCTTTGTTGCAAAAATGTTGGGCGTTCCAGACAACAGAATTGTAGTCCGAGTGAAGAGAATGGGCGGAGGCTTTGGAGGGAAGGAGACCCGGAGCACTGTGGTGTCTACAGCAGTGGCCTTGGCTGCATACAAGTGAGTTCCTAGGCTGCCTTCTCTTGCCATGTTTAGATTATCTGAGAAGTAGAACAATGTCAGCTGGTCAGGACAGCCTTCTAGATCCTCCCCTTGTTAAAAGTAATTGTCCCTACTTTGATTTCTGTGTTTCCACCCTTTGGACATAAGGGCAAGGATACCCTCAGTAGCTTCTTTGTACATTGTATTCACTTCTTATTTTCCCTAAATGGCTGTAAGCTTCCTAGGATTAAGGTGAGGACTCAGCCTGGCATTCCTTGTGTTCTTCAGTATGGTACCACCATTGCAAAGCTCAGTGCATAGATGGAATAGATGGAAAGCAAACCTCCATGTTGTTTAGAACCCCAAGACACACAGGGCTTAGGCTGCGGGAGGCTCACAGGTTTCTAACCCTCTTGGTCCCCTGCTGCCCCAGGACAGGCCGCCCTGTACGTTGCATGCTAGACCGAGATGAGGACATGCTGATAACTGGTGGCAGACATCCCTTCCTGGCTAAATACAAGGTTCTTGATCTTTTCTGTCTCCTTGGGTAGTGTAAACAGGTGGGATGGATCAGGACAGACAGACAGACATGGACGTTATTGAGAATGACCCTCCTTTCATCAGGTTGGCTTCATGAAGACTGGGAATATAGTGGCTCTGGAGGTGGCTCACTTCAGCAATGGTGGGAACACTGAGGATCTCTCTCGGAGTGTAAGTAGGATCTGTCTGACCCTGGAATGACTGGAAGGTCAAGGGTGTGCTGCACAGTTTGTGGGCTTCCTTGCCTATTAGTTTTGTATAGCCACCCAACTAAATGCCCTTCACTTGCAGCTTCCCGTCCTTGGGCAATCTCTAATGAGAGAACAGTCATATCTATGATTAGAAACCTGTCCTTTCTGTTCAAGATATTTTGCCATGCTAGCCTTGTTATGTATACAACATATTCAGGTGTGTGCATGTGCATGTGTATACATGTGTCATGGAACACATGTGGAGGTCTAAGGAGTCAGTTCTCTCCTCCCACTGTCCCATGGGGCCCAGGTCACGGCACTGCCTGTGCCACCCTCTGAGTCATCCCACCAGCCTTTGTTCACCCTTTAAGTTCAGTTTAAAATCTTCCTGTCTCTTGATGTAACATGTGACTTTCATCATTGATATCTGAAGAAATCTTATATTAATATATAGGCAATGATGATGTTCTGAGATTTGCATGTTACTCTCCATCTTAATTAACTACTGTTGTAATTTATTAGAAGGAAACAGAGGTGGGTGCCTCATTCCTGCTGTGTGGGATAGAAGTCTTGATTTTACAGTGATAGAGGCACAGGTAACGCTGTCTGCTGCTGTGCAGGGTGGGGAATCTAGACATTATAGTGGCTTCCTCAAAATTGAGTCTCTTTTTTCAGAATCCTGGTCTCCTAGCTAAAATATAAATGTAAAAAACAAAAACAGAAATCTCAGTCTCTGATGGAAACTCAAGTATCAATTTATTAGTTTCAAAGGAAAATAGGTAAGCAACCTGGAGGCCAGTGTATTCGTCTCTGTTCTATTGCCGTGAGGAAACTCCACAACCATGGCGATTCTTATAAAGGAGAGCATTTAGTCGGGGCTTGCTTACAGTTTCAGAGGGCTAGTCCATTATTTTCAGGTCAGGGAGCATGGTGGAATGCTGGTAGGCAGGATGCTGGAGAAGTAGCTGGGAATTCTATATCCAGATCCACTGGCAACAGCAAGAGAAAGATACTGGTCTTAGCTTGGTCTTTTGAAACCTCAAAGTCAGTGATACACTTCATCCAATAAGGCTATACCTACTCCAGTGAGGCTATACCTCTTAATCCCTCCCATGTAGTGCCACTTCCCCATGACTAAACATTTAAATATATGAGCCTCTAGGGGCCATTCTTATTCAAACAACTGTATCCAGCTACTGCTGGGAGGAAGGAGATGGAAAGAACAAGAGAGAAGGTAATGTGTTCCGAGTTAGAGGTCAAGGAAGCATAGAGTATTGTAATTATGAACATACAGCAGCTGTGGCTCCAAGCCTGCTGAAGTCTGACTAGCAACTGAACAGCAGGGCTTTGGTGAGGGCCTTGGTTCTTTATTAGGGCCTTGACACCACCCAGAAGGAAAGAAAGTGGTCTTTCCTGCTAAGTGAGAGTGAAAGGCTAGGGTCTTATGTGCTTTGCGATGGCTTTATATAGGGTGTGGGTAGGGCTTTATAAATGGCTACAAGTAGCCAGTGAAGAGTCTTAGATCCATATCTGACGTTCTCTGATATCACCCCAACAAGAGTGTTGGGGAAACCCATTGTAGCCTCATGAACATGAAAGCATAGGTTTCTGATGTGATTTTGCAGATGTGGAACTAGGAATGGGGTCACAGCTTGTGTGTGGGGAGCACTCAGTTGGAGTATAATATTTAATGTCTAAGATCTTTTCTAGGCTACCTTTTATTGACCATTTGGGTAGAAAGAACAGGATTTAAGGGGGCGATCCTTTTTAGTCTCTATAGTCATTGACACTTTTTAGATTGCTTGATATTCATAAAGGTTTGAGGTCTAGAAGCATAACAGAACACCCCAAACCTCTAAATCCTAGAACTCCTTACCATACCGTTTCTTACTTCCTAAGGACTGTAGTGTTTCTGCCACTTTCCTTTCCCTTTTAGAATATTTTGTATAACTGCTTAGAACATATCTATCTATCTATCTATCTATCTATCTATCTATCTATCTATCTATCTATTTATCTACCATCTATCTATCTATCATCTATCTATATCTCTCATATATCTATAATCTATATTGATCTATCATCTATCTACCATCTATCATATATCAATCTATTATCTACCTATCTACTCATCTCTATCCATCTATGTATGTATATATGTATGTATGTATGTATGTATGTATCTATCTATCCATCATCTGTCATATATCTTTGTCTATCATCTATCTATCTATCTATCTATCTATCTATCTATCTATCTATCATCTATCTATCTGTCTATTCATCTATCTATCATCTTAATGATACTGGTTGGGCTGGGCTAGGGCCTCATACTGTCTATTAATGCTGAGTATCTGTCTGTCAGGATAAAATCTTGAGTAATGTCAGACATGGTCCTTGGGTATTTCTGTGTTTAGCTCCCGCTGAGGCTTCTTGAGCCATAGACGGCAAGGATAAGCCTAGCAGCTGTGTGTATTACTCACTTGCCACAGCTTTGGTAGATGAGCTTGGAATAATTTAAGTGTTAAAAAAAATAGCTAGTAAGGTCAGAAAGATGGTGTTCAGTGGGCAAAGGTGCTTGGCACCAAGTCTGGTGAACTGAGTGTGATCCTGGCATCTACTTAGTGGAGGGAAGCTATTCTTGCCAGTTGTCCTTTGACCTATACTTGTGTGCTGTGACACACCCACTCAAATAAACCAATAAGAGCAGTTTAAAATGAAGTAGAAAAAAGTAAGTAAGAAGAGGCAATGGATGAAATAAAATCAATTGTGAAAATTATCAAATTTATGTTTGTGGTGGTACTTTTTAAAAGCTATTATCCTAATTTTATGACCAGACTGGTTTTATAAGTTTAGATTTCTATTTTTAAAGTAACATTTTAGAAAAAGTAGGTTTCTCATTATGCATTTTGGGTCCCCCTCTATGCTAGGGTCTAATTAGTTCAGCTAGAAAACTTTACACTCCAGACCTACTATCACACATGTTCAAAAGAGGAAGTATTTCTAGTGTTCTCACCATGTGTAACATGTTTTGGTGTTTTAAAGTAAATCAGGTTGACAAGCAGGTGGTAGTTACCCCCAAAGATCGTAAAATCTTGTAATTCAATTCCATAAATATGTTTTGTGTATGTTGCCCTGGGTGAAACAGAGGAAGAAAAGAAAGAGAGAGAGAGAGAGAGAGAGAGAGAGAGAAGGAGGGAGGGAGGGAGGGAGGGAGGGGTGGAGTTGGTAGGATTGTGAAAGCAAGCAAAAATGGACTTGAGACAGATGTACTTGAGACAGAGGGACAGGAAAAGCAATTTACTTATGGGAAAGTGAAACTACACTTGGGGAAGGAAATTCAAACCAGAATGAAAGAAGCAAACACAAGCAACAAAGGCAGCATCTGTCTTTTCAGGAGGGTTGGGCATTATATGAGAGAGAGAGAGAGAGAGAGAGAGAGAGAGAGAGAGAGAGAGAGAGAGAGAGA